GTGTGTGTGTGTGTGTGTGTGTGTGTGACTGTGAGGATTTTCAGGGCGTACCTGTTGCTTTTTTGTGATTTATGTCAAAATGATTATCCGAAGGTTGCCGAGCGTGGCACATTCATTTAAGAGGCAGCCCTGCTGTGACTCAATGGCTGTAGCATTGTTGTGTTTCATTTCTGTTGCAGCTGAGATTTTTAGTGTTTACTGACCAAGGTTCTGGCCTTGACCAGGAGACCCGAGGGTCTTCTATTTGTGGAGCCTGAGGATGTTTGTTTTGGGCTCGTGGTTGTAAAGCTGTTGCTTTGGGGATGTTGGGGATGGTGTTGACCTCCATGCAGCATAAAGTTCTGTCCCTGCACTCAGTTATTGCCCAAAATATGGTTGGATACAGTACATTGCTTCTGCCCTGCTGTACGTGAACATACCTGCTCTGCTGAATGCTGTTAGACTTAAAGAAAGATATTTTTACAATTACACTTATGAGAAGCCGGTAACATCGAGACAGAAAAATGATGACTTTTCAATATTTAAATTTGCTGTATCAGGATATGTAAAGTTCTCATCCCAATATTTGTGCTGAGAGTGAGATTTTCTACAGACTTCTGCATGCACGGTGAAACATAAGTCTGGCAACACAAGTTTACACTCATTGAAATGTGGTTTGCACTGGCTGCTCCAGTGTCACCTAGCCAGAGTAGGAAGGAAGGTTGTGCGACTCGACGAATAAAAAACAACAGGCGGGGCTTCCTGGAGGCCGACTGACACAAATAGGAAATCCAGAGCACAAAGAGAGAACAGTTAGCACAGGAGCTGCCAAACTAAGCACGAGTCTGAACATTGTATATTTATACATTCACAGCTGTGCCATGAAACTCCCGGCTCACGCTTTTCATGCTGATTTTAATACCAGAGGAGGTTTGGAGCTCTGCAGTTATTAAGTCAGCACAGAGTTGGATACTGGCGCCTCTGCACTCAGCGACCCCTCTAATTTTAGGTGGTCTGCCACTTCACAGCTGAGGTGCTGTGTTTCCTAAATGCTTCCACTTAGCAATAACAACACTTACAGTTGATCACAGAATATCTAGAAGGGAAGAAATTCCACAGTCTTACTTGTTGCAATATTGGCTCCTGCAATATTACCACTCTCGGCCGACTTTTTCACAAATGCCTGTAAAGACAGACCGCTTTGCTGGGACTTGATTTTACATGCTAGTGGCAACGGCACTGAATAATTCACCTAAAGTCAAAGATTAAGAGGTGTGGCCTAATACTTTTGTCCATGGTGATTAGGTGATGCTTTCTAAGGTGTGCCACTCAGGGAACCTGCAGGAAACTGAGGGAAGCTACGTCTCAGGGATACACAAACCAATGTATTCACTTCCACACAGCAAGTCGGCCCATAGAGCCCTGTGTTAAAATATGGAAATAACAGTATTAACATGTTACAGCCTAAGTGGAAAAAACTCTTTAGGCCTCTGTGGAGAGATTCTTCCTTCAGCTGCACAGGAGTTGAATTTTATTTTGAATACTGGTAAGGGTTAAAGAAAGGGGGCGTGGCTTTCACTCACAGGTATCCTGACACAGCGAGCTGTAGCCAAGTGCTCTTTGCTAGCCTTTAGCTTTGGTAATTGGGGCCACTGAAATTGGCCTCTTACTATGTTTGTGGTATTTGTGCCTTTTAAAGCATTTTTAAGAGAATTATTTGAAACAATGTGGTTTGTTGTGCAGCACAGACCATGCAAGAAGTCTCTGCTTCTGTTCTGGTGCACTAATTAGTGTGTGTGCATGTGTGTGTACGCATACACTTCATGCTTGATAATGTCTAACATCTACAGAAATATGTTGATTTATATAAGAAAAGAACTGTTAATTCATCCATTACACTAATCAGTTTTGATGACTACGTGCTGCATCTAAAGGTCAAATCCAGCAGTTTAAAACTCAGAGGTGACAGTAAAACATTCCTTCTTGCTGCTGCGATGTTTGAATGGGAGGCAGTTCACGACTGCTTCTCAGTTGCTGCAGTTTATTAGAAACTTGGTATGATTTTTGAAAGTTGATATTATTGCCATAAAAGTGTTGTTGAAGCAGTTTTGTGATTTAACAACATCACTGACAGGAGAGTTTACCCGAGGATCGAAATATGATGTTTTTGTTTTCAGGCTTACGTGCAGCCAGCAGCTCTTTCCGTCTATTTTTGCCTTCCACTATTTATACATCGATTATGTTTGCACTCCACCAGGAAACTCCTGCATCCCACTGCGACTCTGACATGTAACACAGTCGACTGCTTCAGGACACATCGCAGCTGTCGATCCACACACAGATATATTAGGAACAGAGTCACGGCTCCAGATATCCCCACACTTCCCAACCCCCAGTCGACTCTCTGTCTCTTCATGTACTCGTTACTGTCTGCTCTCAGCTGTCTGCAGCTGCCTGTTGCCAAAGACAAGTACAACCACACTGCACTCATGCAGACACAGCATCATAATATCTGCACACAGTGTTTATGCTAACCTTTGAGAAGAATCCTTTAACCATTCACATTGTAATGTATGAAATTAATCTGTCACATATTCTGCTTCTGACTTCGGGCCCCAGTCACACAGGTGTAAACGCCACATGGTACTGCCCGGTAATCACTGGAATTCCCCAACCGGTTTGGGAGTGGTTGGTGGAGGTTGCTAGCATAGATGGATGTAGCTACTGTGACATCACTCGCTGGCTTGTGAAGCTTTTTGAAGCCTCGAGATGAATATTTTCACTGTCGCTGGGTTGCAAATAAACAGATGTGACAAGGAGGGGTGGGGCTGACTGTGAAATCGCACGTCCATTAGCGAATGACTTTCATCCTCAATATTGAAACATGCGTTTTGGTAATTTTTTATTCTAATGACCCACAATGAGTGACTGAGACCATAATCTCAGCAGGAATCTGTTTCCTATACAGTTCTAATGAGACTGGAAGTCTTTTTACAATCACAGCTATCGCCATCTGATGGTCATCTGTACAGTTTCTGATTGTGGAAGTGCAGACTTATGGGACTTCCACAATCCTCATTTTTCCTACCAGGAAGCTACATCCATGCTTTTTACTATCTATGGTCGCTGGCAATCAACCAACAGTCACTAGGGTGTTAGGTTGGTTTCAGAAACAACTTGCGGTTGCTTTGGTCACTAGCAGATTGCTGCAGCTGCCTGCAGTTGACGCCCACTTGTCTGCAAACTTAATAAACAGTAAGGAAACTGTGAAGAGTGCAGCACACGCCGGAGATGGTGACCATTCTCCTTTTTCAAAGTAAAAGTTGCCGTTTTTTAAAATGTGTTGGCTTCAGTGGTTATGGACATTTTTATTTTGTTACTTTGTTTGCAAAAACACTTTTCCAAGTTTGACTGCTACTCAGCCAGGAGACAACTGTCTCCTCACTAAGTCCTCAGGCCTG